TTTTACTGTTAAACTAGAGAACCAAAAGAAACCCAGTTTGACTGACAATCGCCAGGGGACAGTGCCAAAAACAACAAATCTTTGGAATGAAAAGTAATCCCCCCATTCTTTCACACACACACACACACACACACACACACACACACACACACACACACACACTCACACACGCTCACACACACTCTTGTCCTCTCTCTTTCAAGCTGTTTCTACCCCATCAGACTTTGTCTCGGTCGCTGAGTCTCTCTCTCTCTCTTCCTCTCTCTCTTCCTCTCTCTCTTCCTCTCTCTCTCTTCCCCCTCTCCTCCACCCTCAACCCCCCTCATAAGCTACTGATCTCATAGTGTGAGAGTACTACTCGCATCAAGGGCTCGGAGTTGGGCTAATCATGTCACAAACAAGTGAGAGGGACTGCTACCTGTGAGCCAGTGAAGCTGAGCATGTAAAAAGTTGGAAAACTAATTTAGAAAAAAAAAAAAAGAGTGTGCTGCAAGAATGGAAATACAACAGCATGACTGTGCATCAGCAGTATGTGACATCACTGCAGTTGCATAAGAATTGCTGTCACCTAACCAATAGTGGCACATTTGATGTTTGTTTCATGTTTTTTTGTGATGCATAGGATGCCTACAAATTGAAACCAAAGTCATTTCTTTGTGGTCGAAAACATAGCTAGTATAAATGCCTCATAAGAGCCATATTATCAGACTGAGGCAATGGAAAAGCGCAAAAATGAAACTCCCATCAGTAGACACTGAAATGTCAATGAATGACAGCAACATAACACCCGCCTTAAAAAATGTCAGCCACAAGGTTTGCAGAATACCTGTTAACTGTTAACTTGTTCCCTGCCGACCTCTGCGTGCACACTTGAACGTGCACTGTATGTCTGTGTGTATTCACAAGAACACTGCGGTAGTCTGCCATGGTCAGAGGAAGAGGAGAACGAGGTGGAGCAATTTTTGCTTCTGCTGACTGGCTGACCTGCATGTAATTAGTCAAGTCATATTTTTAACTGATATTGCGTAAAAGCCAGCTTAAGGAGCCATAGCTGCCCTATTTATACCCTAGGGGCTAATGGCCTGTACCACTACACAGGGGGATTTCCTCCCAGAACTATACTAAGCCTGCCTTAGGCCGTACCAGTTAGGATTCACAAGGATTAACCCAGCAATACATTACAGCCGTCACCCTCTAGTCTGCATCACTCACACTGTTGTACTCTCTTCCTATCAGCCCTTTTCTTGTCATGGTTTGCATACTTGGTTAACAACTGTGCTTTGTAAGGAGGTATTGCACATTCTGTTTATTTGGGATTCTTATCTTTTTCATAATCAAAACCAGCAGATATCAAATTGTGCCACATGAAGGTGTGCATTGCTCTGAAGAGTGAGCATATTCGCACAAGGAATTAATCTTAGAATTACTCTTTGAATGCATGTTTATGTTTCTGTGTGCATGCAGCATACCCAGTGTGTGGTGTGTGTGTGTGTGTGTGTGTGTGTGTGTGTGTGTGTGTGTGTGTGTGTGTGTGTGTGTGTGTTATGTGGGTGTTAATAGTAACTCCTGAGCCATAAGCCCATCCTCATTGTGGCTGAGCCTGCTGCGGGCAGGGCTGCTGGCTCATCCTGTTGAAGAATGGGTCAGGGCCCTGAAGGCTGACCTGGCCTTTTGCCAAATAAGCTATCGCCCGTATCACCCTGTCCTTTTATCAGCTTAGCCCGGCTCCCTGTGGAGTAAGCCACCACACAAGGCTAGTAGTACTCCCCTCCTCCCTCACCCCCTCCCTCCATCCATCTTTTCATCTATGTATCTATCTTTTCATCTATGTATCTATCTATAGATACTGTATATATATGCATTGTAAGGGACCATGTACAATATCAAACATAAATGCAACCATATGATGCAATGTATCAGAGTTATCAGAGTTAGTCTAGGGCTAATTTTCATCTGCAGTCCCGTGGCAGGTCAAAATTAAAACATCCACACAGTGACAGAACAGCACTAAACAAACTCGACAAGAAAACACATAATACAAATTATACACTATCTATCTATCTATCTAAAATCAAGGATATTTCTATCCTACCAATATCTATCTATCTATCTATCTATCTATCTATCTATCTATCTATCTATCTATCTATCTGTCTATCTGTCTATCTGTGTCCTCTACCCCCCTCCCCTCAACTCTCCTCTACTCCTCCCCTCTGTCCAGATCTGTTACATTCAGCAACAAATTTCTGCTGCATCAGACGTCCATCATAGATCCCCCACTCAGCCTGAAACGTGATCAGACACCCCATACGAGGCTACGCATGAGGAAGGGAAAAAAAACAATGCAAAATGGCATTTTGATTTCAAAAAGGACCAGAACATCTTCTGTGTTAAATAGAATTTCTCACCTCTAGAATTCTCACTTGTGGAAGTCTGTGACTCCTTTTGCTTCTTTTCACTTACACCACTATGATAGTTTGTCTGACTCATCTGACCTTTCTTGTCAAGGCCTGACCCTGTGTGTGTGTGTGTGTGTGTGTGTGTGTGTGTGTGTGTGTGTGTGTGTGTGTGTGTGTGTGTGTGTGTGTGTGTGTGTGTGTGTTCGTGATAGACAGATTAAATACTGCAAAACCAGAGAGAGACAGAAACACCAAGCATGAGACAGAGAAGGAGTGTGCCTAATGTCTCAGTGGTACCATAAATGATTGACAGCACAGTGGGACTCCACTGTGTGTTTCCTTGTGTTGATGTTCGTCTGTGTGTGTGTGTGTGTGTGTGTGTGTGTGTGTGTGTGTGTGTGTGTGTTCAATATGCTAAATATCAAAGTATGTATGCATAAGAAGACAGCAACAGTCATTTCTATACCTCTATATTGTAGTAAATAACCTTTGGTGAACCCAGTCTGTGCTCTATTTCCTTTTCTATCACTATGACTGGACTATTATGTATATCAAATACTAACTAGTGCTATGATTTATGCAGAATTATATTAAAATATATTGTACAATTTCCATAGGTGTCACTTATGTTTCGAAGAAAGTATATTTTTTTTATTTTCTGCGTTTTATTGACTACTACTTGTTTCCTACTTGTTTACTTTTATATTTTAATACACAAAGTATGATTTCTCACTAATGTGTGACCTTTAGTTATAATCCTATTAGTTTAAAAATGTGTTATTTATGTGGATAGATAATCATGTGTTGGACTCTTTTATTTAAATTGCCATGTCAACTCTGACTCCTTATGAGCAGGGTTGCTTTGTACAATATAATCATAGAAACCTATTTATAAAAGCAAACTTATTTCTACATGCTGCCACCTGTGCAGTCAAATTAGTTATTAAGGTTTATACACTAATTACTTTAAAATTATAAATTTCCTGTTTGTAAATTAGCTTTAATAAATATGTAAAAAATCTAAAATTCTTGGCCTACTGAGCCTGTTTGAATTAATGCAATTATGAATAGATGTATTTTTAATATAACCTTTAGAATCATTTTCTAATTTATTTATAGCCTAATAATTAGATATTGTCATTACTTTTGTTTGCCAAGACTGAATATTGATTAAATTTACATGTTACATGTTAAAGTGTGACCCTACTATCCATAAAAAATTAAAAATATGTGTCTTTATTTTCTATTAATTGTGATACAGAGCAGACAGCACTCATTCCCACACAATCTGAGTGCACATCATTTTCAAACAGCATTCACTTTGAAAAATAAAGGTAATCTTCTCCGAAATGTCAGAGTAGACTTCCTTGGCAATTGTTGCCCCGCTGTGAGAGTGTTTCAATGTGGCCTTCAAGCTGATGTGTCTGCACACACCTCCAAGTCTGATTAACTTTCCATTCCATTGAGGTTGATAAGTTAGACAAGGTTGGTGGATATGAATCTGCATTTTGTTGTGTGTTTAAAAGGTTGGATAAATTGCTCTCAGAAATATGATAGCACACAAAGATTGCTTTTCACAATTAACCACCAATAATGATTTGATTGCTTCATTAAATCCTATTTCCCCCTGTGCTCCAATTTACGTTCTCGTTCCTGTATTGCATTCCTGCGCTGGTAATTTACATAAGCCTGTATATGAACTGAAGCTTGGCCCTGTTTCTAGAATAGGTTTCCATACTGATATGTTTCTGATTTTTTTTTTTTTTTTTTTTTTTTGCCGTGAATGAGCTACACTGCTCTCACGAATTCAGTCCTAATAAGCCATACCAGCCACACCAACACACTTCACTTGCACTGACTGAATCACTGAAGCAAATCATTCAGTGCTCTCCTGCAGTGCTTCTGTTAGCGTATGAGCCTGCATGAGAGTATGTTCTTATGTGCGTGTGTGTGTGCATGCATATAAAGTCAAATCAAATTTAATCATAAAAGCTCTTTTAGCAACAGGTTTGTCACAAAATGTTTTGATGAGAACAAAGGGCACAAATTCAGATGAAAACTACAGATAAACAAAAAGTATAGTGTGTGTGTGTGTGTGTGTGTGTGTGCGCGCGCGTGTGAGTATGTGTGTGTGTGAGAGAGTGTGCTTGATGGATGTGAGGTTTAGTTTTGAGTCAGAGGCAGCAGCAAATGCCTAAGTCTGAGAGTGTGTGTAGGATGAGCCTCCTACCACGTCCCTCCCTGTCTCTCATCAACTGTCTCTATGCCTCCCCTCCATCCTTCCCTCTCTTTAATGTGCCAACATGTCTTCAGAAAAGTGTTTATCAGAAATATAGAATAATAATTTCATTATTGATGAATTAATGACTTTTCAGGTTAAAAGACACATTTAACTGGTGAATTGTATGTGGAAACCATGACATCAGATTATACAATGGCAGCATATAGTCAGCATATACCGTCCAATATATAATCTCTATGTTCTGCATCCTGGACTGTTTGTGTGTGCATATATGTGTCTGAGTGTGTGTGTGTGTGTGTGTGTGTGTGTGTGTGTGTGTGTGTGTGTGTGTGTGTGTGTGTGTGTGTGCATGTTTGTATCACTCACAGTGATTAAAGCAAGTGGGCGGCAGCAGCAACTGGTCTGCCTGTGTGGCTCTGCATAGCAGACATGTTTCTCACTGCTAGATATTACTCATTTCCTCAGCCCTTTGCACACACAAACACACACACTCTTGACATACACACACTCACACACACAACAGACACAGAGACGGATAGCAGGTTTTCAGTTCTTTCCCTCAGTTTGGTGGGCTCGCTGGTGTTATTTCATGCGTACAGAGATCAGAGGCAGTGTGTAGCTGGAGGCTGCTGATATCTGCGGGTGCTGTAACTGGCGGTGGTTCTGTAGAGAAGCAGTGTAGCACAGTGAGGAGCTGAGGAGTGGGTTGACCCTCTGGGAGGACTGGAATATGAATGACTGCCAACACTGGGACATCTACTCAGCCCGCACTAAGGTCAGTCTCACATCACATCATAAAACCTACAAACTCCATCAACCTATCTGCCTCCACCCACTTTATCTAACTGATCTTTTGGATTAAAAGAGCTGTTGTTGACTCCTTTTTCTATTGCACTAAGTACTGCTGGACTATTAATTGGTGTGTCTTTGATAGCAAAATAGTTAAAACTAGAGACTAATATTCTGTAGTTCTGTTTTTCCGAGGTTTGCAGTCATGAGTATAGAGGTACGTTTGACAGTTCTCCAGAGAAATGCGTGTAGAGAAAAGGCGGGATGAAGTGGAGTGGTGCAAATAGATATGTCAGATTTGACAATTACTTCAGAGTAAGTTGTAAGCATTTCACATTTTAACATACAAACATTGAAAACAAAGTGATTCAGACCGTTTTTATTTTTCTCAGTTTTAAGCAAATTAATTTACAGGACTTTTTGGATAAATTCATGCTTACATAGCAAGTCAAAAGTATTGGGGAGTATTTCTTTGGAAACATTGTGTAACGTCATTATGCCCGTGATCTGTCGGTTTTGATATATTTAAATGTTACGACCACAGTAGCTCCAGCTAAACTCCAGCTCTGTGTGCATGTCTGCACAGTGTAGGAGTATTCTGTTAGAAGACATTTCTCTGCAAACTCCTCCACATGCACAAATGTGTTCTTTGTTTTCCTGTACTTTTTTGGCAAGTTTATATTAGGTCTATTAAGACAACCTTTTCAAAAGGGCTGTCAAAGGGTGTCGAGTCATTTGAGGACAAAAACTGAAACCAGTCTTTTTTGAATTCAAGAAATCTGGGTTCTAGTTCAAGTTTCCGTGCTCCCAAAGAAGAGTAGAATTCTTAAGTGAAAGAACTGTGAATTTTAAAATAGAGAAATTCTGACTTTTTGAATTCTGTGAAAATTAATTTTGTGATGATCATTTTTCTCGTTATTGCTTTGCTTTTTCTTTCTTATTTTTAACTGGCTACATTTATTTTTCATAATTTTCTTTCTATTTAGTCAAAGGGCTTAACGGTTAATATATTACTATATGATATTAACTGGTTGTCACATTTAAGAGCTTGATAAGATCGTCACAATAAATTTCATAAAAAAATATTATTCAAGAAAAATATCAAGTAAACTATGAATGAAGTATGTGTATGTGTAAGGAATGCCTTCTAATTGTTGTTGCTGTCTGAAGGCCTTTTATCTAAAAAATATCAACATTCATGAACCCCCTGAGGTCAATGTGTTTTTCCCACCCACAGAAGGCCATGTTATCGTTCAGCTGAACTGAAAATATTTCGCTTGAATTGAACTCATAAGGTTTTACCTTATAACAACATAATCATTGACCTAATAGTTGTCCATTTCTCACATTCAAATCCATCACACCCATGCTGTCAGTGTCTGGGACAATGAATCCCCCTCCTCTCACCACCCAGTTTTCAGTTTTCCACTCAGATGCACAAACAGCTTGCTCCACTCTAACACTTATTCTGTTTTTGGACCAAGTCACTTGATGAGCAACAGTTTACCCGCCTCTCCATGGAGTATCCCCATCTAACCTCTATAACTGACTGGATGTGTGTGTGTGTGTGTGTGTGTGTGTGTGTGTGGACACAGTTTCCATGGTGACAGTGGGGTGGATGGTGAGACGGCAGGGAGTTGGTAGGCTGTTGAGACAGACATGCGGGTGAGTGCGGGGCTGAGTGGCAGCTTGGTGCTGTGGTGTTGTGGCGGCGGCGGCGGGAGCAGCGATGGTGGTGGTGGTGGTGGTAGTGGTGGTGGAGGAGGAGGAGGGAACAGCTGGCGCGGCAACCATCACTTCAAAAGAGCTCATTTAATACGTTTGGAGAAGAATTAGTAGAGCTCCCCCGCACTTCTCACTGAATGAAACAAGGCTGCAAAATCTCTGACACATTCGAGGACTCAAACACAAACACACAAAGACCTAAACAAATAAACACATCCACACATTTCTCCTAGTAAAAAAGTTACCCGTGCACACAAACATGGCATACATGCATGCACACACACAAACACATACACACAGTCATACATATTTCCCCACACCCCTGCTGCGACACGTAATTAATATGCAAAGACACATATCCTGTATCCACAACAACTGGTGGTAATATCAACAGTGTTTCTGTCAGCTTTTGGGTGGGTGGTGACCAGCTTTGCCCATCACTGGGGGAGTAAGTACAGCCGCCTGAGGGAGTATTTGTGTGTCTGTTGCTGTCCATGTGTGTCTGAAAGAGAATGGGTGGGGGGTGCTAGTAGTAAGCTTATACAGAATACAGATAACACCCAGAGCTGTCGTGGGGGTGGTTCATGAAAGTGGTACAAAAACATATCTACATATTCCAATCATCCCCTGAGAGTCAGAGATGAAACCTCTCCTGCTGCGAGTGCTCAGTGTGTGTGTTATACACACACACATACTGCACTGCCTCTGAACTTCATTGGCTGCAAAATATATTTTTAGCCCACATGTGGGAGTAATGTGTTTGAATGAAACGAGTAAGTTGGGTAGTTTCAGTCCCACCGCAGTGCACATAGGTAATGACTAATTAGTGACAGCTATCAGAAAGCTATGAGTTTCTAACCTTTTTAAATTAGTTTATATGATGGAGTCACTGGCCGATTTCTCTCCATCTGTCTGATGCAGCTGAATGTTTGTTTGCGTGTCTGACTAGACTGACAGCTAAGTCTTAACAACAACTGATGCCAGGACCTGACAGATTTTTCTATGTTTACTTAATCTCTCTTATTTCTCTCTGTCCACACACCTACCTTATCTCTGTTTTTGTCCTTGTTGATCTTCTCTGTAGGTGAGTGCTGCTTCAGTACAAAGGAATCAACAGTGATCTGACAGTGATGCTGTGTAGCAGCCTTCCCCTCTGTCTGCGGCCCCCGTTCTCCCGTGAGGCCCATGTGACCTAGCCTACACCCACACACAGGGGGCCCCCTCTGCCGCTGGAGCCCACCCATGAATCCCAGCCCCGACCGCGGCAAAGAGTGCCTCCCTCCCAAGAAGAGGGAGTCTCGGCAAGGATCGACAGAACACCACGTCCCTTTGGATGAGTTTAAACCCCCTGTGCCGCTCCGGAGTCGGTCCAGCACAGGGGGAGGAGAGGGAGGCAGGGAGGCCAGTGACAGGGATCGAGCTCTGATTAACCCAAACCCCCATCTCCTACATACTCCTCCACCTCTTCCTGCTCCAGCACCAGGCCTCCCCCTGCCCCTACCATGGCACCTGAGTTACTCTCCCTCTGTCTCTCTCCCCCTTTTTCCAGGACAAGTTGGCGAGAGGAGGGGCTCAGGGTCTCCCGCCTGGAGAGATGATCCTCTCCCCTCACCCCTGCCCCACCACTCCAGGTGGCTTAGAGGGGAAGGGCCCCTCTCCTTGCCACCTTCCCCATCTTCCTCCTCTGCCTCTTCCTTTAAGACTCCCTTCCCAGCTGATTCTAGAGAGATATGGTCCTACATTAACAGCGGCCGGCGGGACAACAGCTCCTCTCTCTTCTCCCCTTCGTACTTGTTTAGTCACCACTCCCTCTACCCTCAAGAGCCAAGCTTAGTTGAAGCCAGACACAGGTACCTGGGCAAGAGGCCCAACGGCCTGGATGGGCCAGGCAGCAGGACTGCCTCAACCTCCAGGCCTCTGCTCACAGGAGAATATGGGAACGATAGCAGCAGAACCAGACTGGACGTCAGTCCACACAGCTCACATACCAATGGTGGACGGAGACAGCAGGAAGATCTAACATCCCGTGTCCATTCTTGTGGGCCATTTTTGTCAGACTCACAAGCTCAGGAGGGCTCTGAGCCACATTCCTCACTGCAGGACAGACATCTGCATGGGATAGCTAAGACCAGCTCTAATTTACTCTCCACCAGTCCCCATCCCCTGGGACTAGTCCCCAGGGCAGGTAGAGGGGGGCTATTGGACACTCTTGGGGCCACACCAGCTGAAGCCCAGATATACTACTCCTTGGGATCAGTGTGTCACCCCAGCCCTCAGGCCCAAGCCTACCCACTCTACAGCCCCTCAGGAACACCTCTGTACAACCTGCACAGGGAGCCAGGCCCCAGGCAGCACAATCTAAGGAACTCACCACACTCACCCCTGGGTCTGCCTAACAACCATGACAGGTCGCAAAGAGACCGGGACAGAGACCGGGACAGAGACAGGGACAGAGACCAAGAAAGAGACAGAGAAAAAGTCCTACAAAGGGACAGGGAGCGATGTAAAGACAAAGACAAAGAAAAGCACCTACAACATGACAAAGACCAAGAAAGAGAAAGTGAGCGCGAGAGACGAAGGGACAGAGAAAGAGACAGAGGGAGAGATTCATCTCCTTCTCATCTTCACACCTCACCGCCAGCCCTTCACCCATCTCCCCCTGCGCTCCTACCTCACTTCACCAAGGGTTCTCTGATTGAGTTGGCCAGCGGGCGGTTGAAGCGAGTGGAGGAGCTGCGAACCGAGGACTTCCTGAGGAGTGCAGATACCTCCCCAGAGTTCCACCTCAGCACCTGCACTGTGCTGCTGATTTCCCCCAGCAGTACACAGGGCTTCAGCCACCTGCAAGTCCACCTCACAGACCTCAACACTCAGGTCAGCTTTTTCTTTAAATATATGCTTCAACTTACACTTGAGAAACATTTCTACATTACAGCATAATCAGAAATTATTTAATGAATGACTGCATGACATAATAAGAGTGTTATTACAAATCAGTCATAGTGTAGGGCTCAAGTTGCCTTGATCTTCTCAGATTAAAGCACCAAAGTCAGATTGTGGTGATAATAAGTGACAGAGAGACTTCTTGGTTGAGTGTGTAACAATGTTGTGATTTTGTGTAGGAGTTACTGAAGGTCTTGGTGGAGTATCCATTCTTTGTGCAGGACCGAGGCTGGTCTTCTTGCTGTCCCCAGAGAACCTCCCAGCTGTATGGCCTGCCCTGCCGCCAGCTCATGGAGGGGGATGTCTGCCTGGCTCTAACCCCCACACCCACCCAAACCCACCGGACACACACACGTACCGGCTCCAGGGCGCATCGCACGCAACTCCACTCCAGGGCCGCCGGAGAGTCCAGCAGCTCGCACAGGGAGGAGATGCCACCTCCACCTCCTCCCCCTCCTCTTCCTCTTCCTCACCACCCACCTCCTACGGTGCCGGCCCCTCCACGCACTCTGGCCGCAGAGCCTCCTGTTCCGGAGCAGCCCCGTCCACGCAAACGCCGCTGGTCTGCCCCGGACACCCTTCCCTCAACCGGAAGCGATGCTCCTGGCCTCCTGGATTTACCTCATGGCTCCAAGCTAATGAAGTGGCAGTAGAAACTTGGAAATGCATATGTATACATGCATACTTACACACACACATAAGCACATACACACCCTCCTTGTCTCTGTTGCACCCACCAAGACAAACAATGGAGAGACCTCAAGGCAGGGTTGCAGGGAAGGAATAAAAAACAATAGAAAACACAATTTACGGGTGTCCACACTGCTGCCCAAATATTAACCTCGTCCACCCTAGTCTAGCCCTTACTGCACCCATCCTTCCTTTTCCTTTCCCTTCCTTCCCTCCCCTTAACCTTACTTAGCACAACCCTGAAAGGAGCAGCAGCTGAAGGATCTCTGGATGGCTCCTTACAGACACACTGAAGACATTTAGTGAGACAATCAAGCACTTGTCTGTGTTCACTCTGTTTTTGTAATGGTTGTCCCACACACCTACTTACTGACAGTGTTTTCTGCAGGGTATCAATTTTCAATCAGTGTTATGAAAGTAAACGCTATTGAAGAAGTGCAGATATATATGAACAAAAGTTGAATATATATATTACATTACAGATGTTATATACAGTAAATATGCTAAACAGATTTAATGCAATCTCTGTCAATTTTGCAATGCATTTTCTTTTTTTATTTTTATTTTCTTGCTTCTGAGCCGATGTCTACATGTCGGCCTGGGCAGGCAAGGTGAATGTATGAGCAACTCTTCGCCTTTTTTATTCTAATCACTGGGAGTCATTTCAAACAATTGTTCGTCAAGGCATTACCCTCCAATATGTTCTTAACATTATCTCTGAGAAAGGGAGAACACTAATGAAAACTGCGTAACAGACAATCCCACCCACACAGACAGGTCTGTGACACATCGCCTCGACACTCATGGTGTTTTTCCATTAAAAACTGAATGATGGAAAGAGTAAAAAGTGCAGTACGGCTGAAGAGTAATGGTGCTAATAACACGTTGGAACATGATGCTTTGTGAATACTCTTGACCCCTGTGTACTGTACGCTTCTGTTCCCATCTCATTTTTTACGTACTGTATATGTTTGAAGGCAGGGAAAATGATGAAAGTATTTTAAACTCAGATACGGGTATCTCCTCTGATTCAGCACACTCTCTCACTTTAGTTTTTGTGTTTGTTTTTTTTTTATTTTCAAAAAGAAAACCTTACTTGTTGATTTTTCTTTTTAAATGTTATAGCTACAAAAATGTATATTTTTAAAAATTGTGAATCTGTTAAATGATGTTCGCTAGAAATAAAGGAAAAAAGCTTTATAGATTTAATTAAAGGTGTCAATTTATTCTCTGCATGTGTTGTAAAGTATTATACACTTAAATTATCATTTAATGCATATGCTGAATATGGGTTCACAGAAAAATTAGGAATTTATTTACATTAATAGTATGTTAGCATTGTGTTCTACTGGGTTAATCAAGATGTTTTCTGTAATAACAACAGCAACTGATAACTCTTGCCAGTCTAGCTGCATGGAGGACGGAAAATAAATCAATACAAGGCAAAAATAAAGAAAATTACTTTTGCTTTATGCATTGTGAATACATCAACAATGCAGCACTTCCATTGTTCTTTATCCTATATACATCTCCACAAAGAAATACTCTGTATTTTTTTGCTCTGCTCTTAGGATATATTTTATGGTAATGACAGGGAAGGAATAAAGCTTCAGTAAATCCACCTGTATATTGTTCATGGCTACCCTGGTGCAGGGTAGCTTTCTTTGTCTTCCTACATCTTCTCTCCTTGTGTGTTGGAGGTGAGAGTCAGCCGCTCTCCTCAATCTCTCCCAAGTTGAACCTCTGCAGCAGTTCCACTGCAAACAAGGGCACCACCTGGCCAGCAGGACACAGTGTAGTACACAATCAGTATGCTTATGAGGACCTCTACTGGTGGTTGAAAATGCTACCGCTACACTCTGACTGACAGCATTCACACAGGAATTATTAAGATGTGCCTGGATTGTTATGTATGAAATACTTGATATACTGTTCAACATGTCATAAAACTCACATACAACTTTGTCAGACTAAGCTTACAGTGTTTGGCATTTGAGAAAGTAGATTGTTGATTAAACCCTACAGGAAATGAGATTGACACACATCACTCTAAGAGTGTAACTCTGCTTTCCCTCCCGTCATAGTAAAATTTAAACAAAAGATCTTAAAATCTTAATGTAAAAATAAAGCCTTTTATAAAATGAATCCCTGATTTACAGGTCAAATGTAAAATCAATAATTGAGATATGACACCTTATGTACAACAACATCTACACGTATGCTTTCAGGGTAAATGTGCTAGAGAAGATGATGAAAAAAAAGTTGAACAATTCTTAGTTCTTTTTCTACCCACCTCCGCCATGATCAGCTTCCTAGTTTTAGATACGTTGGGATCTGGATACTCCTCTCCAAAGCAGAGCTCAATCTGATAAGAAGGTATAGGACCCTTCCCCTGTAAACAGCTCTGGAGCTCTGTACACAAACATTTTATATTGGAAAAGTCAGATTTGATCTTATAATCTGTCTCTGTCTCTAAATGTGTATTATATATATTCTGTTCCAGATAGGTTTATATGACCCGTAGCTAAAGAACTGTTTTCGCATTTTTTGTTCTGTTTAAGTATGCACGCACTGCCTTACCATTAAGAAATGTGGGTATATCAAGCAGTTTGAAGGTCTTTTCTCGCTCCAGTTTGTTGGGCTGTTCAGTGTGTTGGGCCATGGGACCACTCCAGTACACCCTGCCCTGGCAGAATCGCTTGATGAACACCCCATCTGGGGCCACCCATAATAGAACACCCCTCTCCAGATGACAAAGAAGGCGGTTCATTGCTTCAGCCAAGCATGTCGGCAGGGATACGGAGCCTGGGGAAGGGAAGGAGAGCTGCTGGGCAGTACAGGGCCCGTAGATTCGTTCATTTCCCAAGGGGACATTTCCCTGCATGATGAAGCACCCATCTGGGCTCCTGGTGGTCAATTTCATCACCCTCTGGCCATGGTACAACAATGTCACCTGCATACGAAAGTCTATACACACAAAATGCAACTTGTGTTCCAGGTCATACAGTTAAAAAGGCCAGTGGCAGTGTTTTTATTCTGTGTATAATTCAATAAGCTTTCTTACCTGATATTGTAATTGCAGGGCTGATGAAGGCTACAGGAGGTTTTTGTCTTACGAGCTCACAATACATGTGCTCCCTCATCAGGTCCTCTAAAGAAGAATAGAGAAATACAATCAGTACTTTCTCAATACTATATGAATACTCTGACCCCATTACCCACCAAGTGGTAGGTGAGAACTTTGGACCACCCAAGACTCCTTTAAATTTTATTTATCAAATACAACTTTTTCAGTAGTGGTCAGTGATGCCTTATCTTCTGTCGCACCAGTGTTGTTCCCCATGGCTCCACCCCTGGCCCTCTGTTATTCTTTGTATACATGCTGCTACATATCATACATAAATGCAAAATTCAGTACCATTGTAATGCAAATGAAATACAAATTTCAGTCCCACTAAATACGAGTGAAAAAGGCAATTTTCATAAGCTATTGTCCTTTCTGTCCGAATGTTGGATGTCCCAAAATGTTCTCTAGCTAAATGAAAATAAATCATTTTCATTTTTATTTCATTCATTTTTTTCATGCCTATTTTGCAAAAACATCTTGGCTCACTGTCTACAAATGGCAAACCTGCAGCCAGAAACTTGGGAGTAACATTTCATTTGAAAATGAAAAAAAAGTTTAACCTTGTTTTTATCAATTAAGGGAGCATCTAAAAAAGTCTTTTTTTTTTCTCTCCGACTGATCTTGAGAGAATCATTCATGCTTTTATTTCTTGTAAGCTAGGTTACTGTAACTCCTTGTATTCAGGGTTAAGCCACAAAACAAAATCTTACTCCTTCAGCAGGTACAAAACGCAGTTACTCAGCTTTGAAACACATACTAGAAGACAAAATCATAATCACTCCTATTTTAGCCTCACTTCACTGGTTACCAGAACAGATTTTAAGATTTAATTGATTGCCTTTAAAGAACTTCATGGTTTAGCTCCCAGTTCTGTTGCTGAATTTCTGCTCCAGAGTGCAGATTCAGATCCTCAGGCAGGCTCTGCTGGCTCAAGACTAAAAAGCGCGGGTGACAGGGCTTTTAGCTCTTGAACTCCCTGACAGAGGATCTGAGGCTTGCAGAATATCTTCTATATTCTAGACTTTTATTAATACTACCACCACTATATCAATCATGTCTTATCTCTTTTAGTATTATATATTATTATATGATATATCATTTATGTTCTTATCTTTACTGTTTGATATTTTATACCTTTTACTTTAACTGTATTATTTAAAGTGTCTGATTTTATTTGCCTTGGTCCTGAAATGTTTAATCCTGTTTTAGCCATGTAAAGCACTTTGTTTTGAAAAGTGCTGTGTAAATAAAGTTTATTATTATTATTATTATCTATGGCCATGTTCCTCTATAGTTCTATTGAAAAGTGCTAGTTTCAGTGCGCTCTTACCAGTAAATGGTTTTCCTTCTTCTTTGTTTGCTTGAAATGATTCCTTTTGATAAGGAAGCTACAAAAACAAAAAGCAAAATTAGGTACACATAGCATGGGAAGATTTTAAGGAACAGGTATTTTTTTATAATATTAAATCAGTTTAAACTGATTTTCCCACACACTCCAAAACCTGTGTTTCCTGCTGCGAGAACACATTGTTCTTCACCACAGTGTAAAGTCATCTTCAAATGTGGACAGCTCAAAAAAATACTTCCACTAATACAAAGTCCCTCAAACCAATTAAACAAACAATACAGCAGGAGGGCCATTTCCATGAAAATGTTTAACTTTAGTGACTCATAGTCTTGTTGTTGTATCAAAAAATACATAAGGTGAAAAAAATTTGTCTGGAGACAGTGAGAATGGTCGCTTAACCTTTTTACTGGGATTGTCTCATTTTTATAAACATAACTTATACCATCAAAATATGATTTTCATTCCAAATTTTCACCTATTACATTAAAAAAAGAAAAGGAAAAAGCAGAAATAATTAGCCCTATTTATAAGAAAGTGACTGCACTCACACAGTGTTCTTACACATGAATTGACTGAAATCACCTATCGTGGATAACAGTGTCCACTACATAGTATATATATCAGTATATAATCCAGTATTCAGCAAGTTCAGTGTTATATTTTGTCATTTTATAGCTCATTGGCTCTATGTTTTTAGCTTACCTGTTTGTCCGGAAAACCAGGGCTCCTTGGAGACCTCTTAGCCTGGATGATCACTTGATCCTTTATCTGGGGAAGCTCTGAAGAGAGCAATAAGTGGGAACAAAAATGAGAGCAAATAAAAAACTCAAAAATGATTTCTCTATTGGTGAAAAGCTGATGGAAGAACAAAGAAAAGGTCAAAATACTTAAAACCTTCGCTCATTCTATAAATACAGCATTTTATTCCTTGTTTAGTTTCCTCTGATTGGCCTTTTTGTTATTTATTTTGGTGTAATTTTACGTATTAAGACATTAATAAGACAATATGAATGGAAAGGAGAAGTATTCAAGGTTTTTACCTGGTGGCTTGGCTGGCACATTGTCGTGATGGATAAGGTAGACTTTATAGGGTTCAGTGATGTCCAGCTGGTTGCGTTCAGGCACCTCTTGGAAGTCTGTGCTCTTGTTGAGTGCACAGCGTAGACGGGTCTTCCACATGGTGGGGTCAGCTTTATCCCTCCCCTCCCTGTACTTCCCCTTGTACACAGCCCAGGCCTGAATGTGAGCATTTAAATATTAGATGTGTCTGTATGAATAACTATTTTGAAATAAAAAATCTGTTTGGGGAAGTAAGGAACTTATAGAAGCCAAAAACGGCTGTGCTTGCAATTATTTTTTAAACGCTGTTATCTTGAAATCACATGTTAATTTATATTGTGATCTTAAGGAAACAAGTCTTACTTCTTGAGATACCAAGATAATTTATCACGAGAAAACGACTTTTGCCTTTAATTATGGCGAACTCAAAAATTAGTGCCTTGATCTGAGAGGCTGAAGTGATTCATTTCTTGGCAATGTGATGCAATACTGACAAATCCTGGCTGTTGCATATGGCATTTTGGTCAGTACGAAAAAGAATAAGAATGTCGCCAAGTGCTTGCTCATGGTGGGAACTGTTGGGTCTCTGTAAATAATGCTATAAGGAGTTCGGCCTAGACCTGCTCTTTTTGAAAAGTGTCCTTAGATAACTTCTGTTATGAATTGGTGCTATACAAATAAAATTTAATTGAATTCAATTCAATATTAACTTGTATGTTACATGTCATTCCTCCATGCATTGTTGAACCAATGCTACACCTATAATATGCCATTTTGCATGCTGGCATGATCTCTGATAAACATTACAAGTAATAAGAGGAAACCCTTTGTTTTCTTGGAATAACGGGTTGATTATCTAATCATGTATTTCAAGTATACTATATTTTATTGCAAATCATTGATGAGCAGGGTCGTTTTCTTTATAAGAAATGTATCCCGGGAATATATGTTGTTTTGTTGTTAATTATCTTTAACTATATGCATCCAGAACATTGTGAAAGCAGCAAACTGAATGTACACTGTAAGAAAATCATTAGTAATTTAATTTTTAAATTAAAATTTTTTCACCGATCAACATTAAAATGGTGAGTTCACTGAACTATAATGCGTTCAGATTGTTGATTACATGAACAGAAGTCGCATTCACTTCAGTGAAGTTGAGAAGGTCAGGTGTGTAACATTTAGGAGGATCTATTGGCAGAAATGGAATCCATTATTCATAGGTATGTTGTCATTCGCATATAGTCACCTGAAAATGTTGGCCGCCTTGTTTCTAAAGTAACCCAGAACAGACAAACCAAACCCTGGCTCTACATAGGAACATTTGTGTTTTGCGCGCATTTCACAGCCACCGCAGTTTCTCCCACATGCCTGGTAAGGCTTTGCGAAGCAATTAAGTTGTAATCTGCAACTACACCGCTAGATGCCACTACATCCTCCACACTGGACCTTTAAGCTATTAAGTTCTGTTAGCCGCTGGTTAGTTTTTGGGTTAGAGTGGCATTCTGGTTTATTCATTCAGTAGTGAAGGATTTTTAAGTTTCATTCCATGAGCACCACACAGCCTACAGCTTTTGCTGTGCTCTTAAAAGCCAAATTCATATCAGTATTAGTACTGAGCCCTGGTTTTGTCATAGCCATATAAAGCGTGGGTATTGTGATTGTGATGATTGAAAATCTGAGATTTGAAATTAACTAACTTGTTATTTACATTTACTTAATGATTAAATAATAATCAGTTAAATTAATTTAGTTAAATTAAATCATTATGTAGACTTTGACATTTTTACTACTAAATACCTTTAAGTGAATGAAACCAGCAGATCTTAGAAAGGCAGAATTTGGCTTCATTCATTAATTTATATATTCATACATTCAAATAACAATAATGAATAAAAAATCAATATTTTTGGATGCAGGCAAATCTATGTTGCTGAGATAACCAATTAAATGACATAAATAGCTACACTTTTGTCTCTTGGCTGTTTGAGACCACTGACAACTTTGCCATATGATTATGTTTTTTGTTAGCACTGCAGTAGTAGCCTTCAAGGCAAGCCTAGTAAATATTCTAATTAGGCAATTAACACCAAACACTCTGGTCTATACTGGGCTGATATTTTACTTAGGCTATTAGCCTGATATGTAATTCATATGTTTCCGATGTTAGTAGCTCAACTTGTAGGCTACAATATGCAGTGGTTTTATTTTATTATCAGTCAATTTAGAAACTTGTTATATGCCTTAAATAAAAATCCTATATACATAGGCTACATTAAGACAAAAAGGAGTTAAATTCGGTTAAATTCATTCGACTCGGACACCTAGATCAATTTCTTTCTCATTTCAAAACTTGCTAGAATTATATCTGACCAAACCTGGCAACTGAATTCACAAAAATCTTCTTTATAAGTTTTAAATTATGAAACAGGCTGAAATTGTTGACCTTGAAGAGAGCTGCATCCGCCGTCTGTTTGTAGTCCTTCTTGGCTGCGTGTTTCCACGGGATCCTGAACATAGTCTTGTCCTCATCTTCCCAGCATAGTCCCTCATATTTCCCACTCTCTATCTGGGCTATCAGCCACTCTTTCATGTGCATTTTAGCTCCTGGTTCCATCTTCAACACAGACTGTCTCTTACAGGAAGAATAAAATCACTTTCAAATGTCACAGATACATGTGCACAATAGCTCGAGCACTTTAATCACGTCCCCACCTTGCAAACGGGAAAAAAAAAACAATGTTTTATTCTGCTGCTCCTCAAGCCTCTGAACCGATTTTAATCCCAAACCTGTAGCAAAATAATATAATCAAGTTTATAAAAGTTCTAGACAAACAGACCTCGCCGCAAACTTAAATGCAGAAGTCCGACCTAAAATTGTGCGCTCATAGGAGCGAAAGCGAAAGTTTAGTTCATTTGATACTTTCGGTTTCCCACTGCTTGCTGAGTTGCAGCGAAAGTTTAATCATTTCCAAGTAAGGTGTAAGAAGGAGGGTGATAAATGAGTGGGTCTCTGAATTATAAACCCGTGAGAGAATGTCTGTGTGTGAAAAGAAACCACAATAAAATGCAAATTCCCTGTTTTTCTATTCTATTAGAGTCTATTTAACTTTGCCAGAAGGCAAAACAAACTTTAATCTTTATTATATGACACTGATCACAAAACTCAGTCACCTAAATAGTCCTTATAATGTTGAAGAATACATAATCGATGGAAGTAGACAAAGGGAAGGAAGGAAGGAAGGAAGGTAAGGACAGATAAGTTGTACACTCCAAACAGATTCCAAACTAGGCTACTAAATAACTAATTAAATGAGAGTTTTGTTTTCTTAATTGGAAAATTCTCCTTTCCTTTGCCCCCTCAGGAATCAGCATGTGGGAAACAGGGCAGCGTAAGGCCTACGCATGATCACGTAGACCAAAGTAAAGCACCAAAGCCCACACATAGACACGCACACACACACACACACACACACACACACACACACACACACACAGAGAGAGAGAGAGAGAGAGAGAGAGAGAGAGAGAGAGAGAGAGAGAGATACAGACACGAATCATAACGAAACATTCGTGCGAAAATGAAAGTATGTGGGTTTAAGGGATTTTTTTCTCTCATTGACTCCTCCCCTTGTCCTTACTGTTAAGGTTGCTGACTGAAGGTAAGAGTATTTCTTAAGTTCAAGTAATAATACTGAACCTGTGAACAATTAGCTCGACAGACAGACAGTAGACAGATGGACCAAGGGCTCACAGCAAAAGACATGAAACCTGCGTAAACACGCTGCGCAGTGTAGTTCCCCCCAGCAGAGGGCGGTATTGAACTGTGTTGATGCCTCTTCCCACACAACGTTATCTGTTCATTTGATAGACCAGGCAACTGTGTGCTAGAGACAGAACATGCTGTATGGAGGAGGATGCAAACACATCTTCCTAGTTATTAATACCCGAGGCTCATTTGTATCCAGTGCCATTAGTCAGAGGACCTGCTCCATCAGAGAACAGCTGGTTTGTCAGTCACTCCTGCTGTTCACTGGTAGTGCTGGTCTTGGTGAGAATTGCTTTATTTGTTCAGGTACTGGAGTACCATATGCCAAAAGACTGTCTTATAACAGCTTGCAGGTGCTTGGTGTTAATGGCACCAAATGACCAGGACAGAAGCCAGAAGAGCAGATTTGTGATACATATTTTGAGAACTCTTAATTGTTGACATGCAGTCAGACAGGTGTTGATTATGTCAATTTAAAAGGTTGTATGTAGTTTATTTCAGAATGCTGTAGTTTTGCTCCTCTGCATGAGTAAATCAGATAGATTAGGGGAAAAAATATTAGGGACATGATAGCAAGTCTAATACAACACCACCAGCACTAATTAAACATAGATTTTAATCAACAGCTCTCTTGTGCAGTGTCAAGAACTAAATAGATAATTAGTACAGTATTGGATTGTACTGAGCCCCTATTTTCTTAAAATATTTGAAATCAGTTCTTCCACATCAAAATGGCTATAAAAGGTTTTATATAGGCAGAAATGCCACCCACACAAGCTGCCAGTATTTTCCCACAAGCCACACTATGTGCAGTTTGCAGTTCTTACAATGTCATGTAATATGCATTCATATAGCAACTTTCATTATGGGTAAACTCATTGTGCTTTACATTAAAAGACACCCACCCAGTGAAAGAAAGAAAACCACACCTACCACACAGACGTAAACCACAGACACATGCACACACCCATGAGATCAATCATAAGCCTGATAAAACAGAAAGGTTTTCAATTTGCTTTTGAACGTGGAAACACTTCTCAGACAGATCTCGGGTCAGCAGGAGAAAGATGTAGCTACAATCAAAGCAAATATTTGTGCAGGAACATGTAAGAAAATGCAACACCAGCATGTGTCCTCCATCAACTTGGCAATTTGATTCCATTTTCCATCCAGATTAAACAGCACACATCAAGGTGGTTTTTGTTGCTTTTCTCCCAGTTTATTGTTGTACCAGTTCAGCAGTAAAACATGGTTGAGACATCGGAGCACACTGTAGAACATCTTAGCCAGCTTTCAATAAATAGACCTTTTAAATATGAGAGATTGTATTACAGCAGAGGAATGTAAACCTGAAAATGTCTTACACAGAGAACAAAATGCTCTGTACAAAGCTCCCTCTCTCCCCCTTTCTCTGACAGTTCAGCTGATTGTTGCTATAAAAATGTGCGTCAGGTAGCGCCGACTGATGAAATATGTAGACATTTCCACAGGTCCAAGTTGCCTCCCACCATCAGTGTGTAACGTACATATACACATAAGGCAGAGAGAAAGAGACACATTGCGTTTGAACTCATGTCAAAGTAGTTTTCTGTCAACTTTGTTTTCATTTCCTCAGAGTGTGTACTATCATTTGAGAGAAAACAGGCAGCATTACATACAGGAGAAAACACAAACCCAAGTGACATTCCAGGAAATAAATACACTTCTTGCTTTGTTTGAAAAAATTATTTACACAGTATTGTACATGGAAGAAATTCAGAACATCCATCTGGGTCTCTCAGTCATAAAAATATATAATATAATAAAATCTACAGTAAGAGAATTAACTACAATAACAATTATTGAAATAAACAAAAGATTGTTGACTGTGAATGAATATACAGTACAATCACTGCTTTTAATGTCTTGTATACACAGTAGAAAGCACAAACGTGAGTGTGTGTGTGCGTGTTTGTTTGTTTGCTTGTGCGCGCTTGTGGCGAGGAGTCTAGTCAGCCACTCAACATCGCGTTTACTTCAGGACAACCTTGAAAACGTAACGAGAATCTCTTCCACACTCTGCACTTGAACTCTCGCTTGAATGTTCATAACATATTTGTGTGTGTGTACTATAGTTTGTAATCGTTTCAACGTTTCAAATGGTCGCTGACAGCAAGGAGAAGCCCTCTCTACTCTTGCGTGTGTGTGTGTGTGTGTGCATATGTGTGTGTCTCCTTGTGAAGAAGCTGACAGTCTAGTGGCAGCCACAGGCTCTGACCACCATGTTGCGGTATTTCTTGAGGATGACGTTGGAGCTGTCATCAAAGTAGAGCACTGAGATGGCGTGAAGCTGTGTGGGGGCACAACAAGGCTTAGGAACTGTCTCCGGGTTAATAAAATGAACCTGGGGAGAGCAGAGGGAATTCAAAAGTTTAATTAATCATTACACCATGAATGGATATTGACAATTGGTTATAAAGGGTGCATCACACAGTGTGTACACTGACTTTAAGTACTGTTGGAAAAAGTTTATTCCACGTCTTGGCCTTATCCTGTGTCACAGTTTACTCTAAAATACAATATGCAACCATTTTGGATCATTACATAAAGTAGTTCAAACAGCGGCTACATTGTCTTGACAGCTGAGGAGATGATTAGACTCTTAACATGACTGCTGGGTTTTTGTTCCCTGCTTTCATGGTTACTCACAAGGGTTTGCACAATGGCATGGTTTGTGGCGTTCATGTAGGAGTTCAGTGGGAAGGCACACTCTCCCTCACAATAGTATGCTGCATATCCTTCTGGAGCGATGATCCAGTCCTGAGAGTGGGGAGGGAGAGGGAGAGAAATTTAGGTTGGAGAATTATATAGCATGCAGCAAACTAAAATGCAGGGAGAAAGAGATAAAGAGAGTTGAAGGTTTAAGGAGTGAAGAGGCCACATGACCAGAGTAGAGAGTGGAGTCAGACTGAGTATGCCTTAGTATTGACACAGTGTTTGTGCAGAATTTGAAATGGATCTGGTCCACTTATAGCTGGATATAGGATTTTCCAGTACAGACTTGGGCTCGGACTTCGCAAATAATGATACGCTCAAGTGTAAGTTACACTGAATGTGTGTTCAGATCTGACTACAACATGATTCAGTTAAGGAGTATGCTTTTTTGCTGCAAATTGTGACAATTGGACGCTGAGGGTTTTTATAGTACCTTAACAGCCTCTATGAGTTGTGTGTCACAACCACTGCCGCTACTGTTGATTGTCTTGGTGTGAGGGCCACATCCGCAGTTCAAACTGTAACAACTTCCTGTTTAAGCCTGTACCTTTCACGGAATACTTTAACCTTACTCACCCTGGCAGGAGTCCACCTCTTTTAAAAAAAATATTTTTCCAGGAAGTTTTTCTTGACAATACAGGACAGCACTTGCTCACCAACGTTCATATAATTTACCAGTAGGACTAGTATTAACACATTTAACTTGTTGAATTATACCGGGTTCATGAAGTTTATTACAAGTAGGTGGTCAGTGTTTGTGGGACACTCGCTTTTCGTGTTTAGCAAATAGTGAAAAATAAAAAGAATTCAGCCCAAATTTGACTATTTAAATTGCTTGTTTTGCCATACAGAGAATCCAGAACCCAACCATATTCAATTCACTGTTGTAGAAGACAAAGAAAACCAGAAAATATTCACATTTTGAAGCTGGAACCAGTGGCATTTTAACTTAAATACACTGAAATGTTTAATGGATTATCAACAGCTGGACAGAAAGAGGACACAGTTCAACACAGAGACTTTAGTAAGTTCATCAAGCTGAAACTATAAAAGAGTGGTTGACTTGTCCCCTGTTTAAATTACACCCTTGGGCTCAAGTATAATGTTGGCTGATTCTAGTGTGTCATTTATCAAGATTCTGGGATACAACCAGCAAACAGGAGTGTCTTATTTAGGCTTCTGTTGGGCCAAGCAATTTTGGCTACCTGGGAGAGGAATGCTTTCCGTACCTGCCACCCCAAGTCTCTGAAACTGACGTAGAGTTCATGCTTCTTACACGCCTGCTTCTGGTCAGTACTGCTGTTTTCTGAGGAAAAAGACAGACACACAGAAAAAGACAGAGAGAGATTACACTACAATACATGTGCTATTATCCCATTCGGCTACAAGAGTAACTATTTACTGTAGTCAGACCCCAATTAGGCCGAGATGATAAAGAACAGACTTAAACACAGTCAGTATCCTCATACAAAACATTAACTTTTAAACAATGGCTGAAGGAAATCACCTCCAGATACAGCAGCAGTTTGGTAATTGTTTCAAATGAATGGGCCACCCTGCTTAGAGGTCACTCTGCTGGGCTTTGAGTTTCCACTGGATGAAACAGATGTGCACACAGAGTAGACTCGCCCCTTTTTTCATACCTCAGGTCTTTATTTATTCTTTCTCTTTCCTCTTAACTCATTTCAACATTGCTTTTTCCCTTTACCCCATTTGTGTGTTAAAAAGAATTGTCTGTTTTCTATCTAATGGTATCTCTCTCTTCTTTTGGTTACCTCTGGGGCTCTGTGGTATATTAGTTCCTGAGAGCGGTTCACATTGGAAATGATCATGAGCGACTGGTTCTCATCATCCAGTTAAAGACCACTGCTATCCAAAGTTCCAAACAGGCACATTTGGCCCATGTGTTGTGGCCCCGGTTGCCCCACAGCACACCGCAGATGTGTTCTACCATAAAAGCCTGCGCTGCCTTACCTCCATGCAGGGAACTTGGCCCCAACTGTTCTGTAATGCTTGTGTAAATAAACAAAGACAGCAGAGGGATATTTGAAGCTCAGGCATTACAGTCTAATGTTTCAGCACTTCACATAAACACAGCCCTCTCACACCTCTAAAACAAAGGCCCCGAGTATGCATCGCATGTTTTGTCGTGCGAGAATCATATCAGTTCCAATGGCATGCTATTCCGGTTCCAGATATATTGTATATTTGTGGATGCTTGTGCTTGTTTGCATGTCAGTGAGTACGTACTATATGTGTTGGCACTACCTTAAAAATGCAGAGAATGCTAACATGGAAGAACCAGACCACCAGCTTTACATTCCTCACAACACAACAGTATAAATCAGCACTGACTGTATATATAACACACACACTTTGCATGTTTACCTGCAACATTGGCCACTCTGAGTGCCTCTTGGCTCTTTGCCCCTTTGGAACGGTTGGGGTTACGCTGTTTGGCCCCCCCTGGCGCTGAGCGGATGCTTCGCAGGTGCACCTCTGTGGCTTTGAAGAAGGCCACCATGAAGGGCTGTTTATTCTGAGGCCCACTGCGACCAATCAGCCCTGCCACACGAGGATTGATACTCTCTCCTGTAGGCGGAGACAGAAAGAACAGTACAACAGGTGCTGGGGTCACAGAAATGTAGATTTCATTCATACAGGGTGATGTATAAGAAGACAGGGAATGCTTTTGAACTCAAATAAATGTGTGCCCACTTGGTGTGCCTGTGTTGGGGTATATTTTGCATTTGTGCGGTCCTCTATTTACTCACCAAAACAGCATTTGTTGTGTCAATAATACTGCATTCAGTTTAACAAATGATATTTTCCTCAGTGAATTCCTTTCCCTTTTTCTCATCCCTTCTCAACCTCTGAAATGCCAAGAACAAACGTAGCACTGAACATCAAAGCCTCTCTACTTGTGTTTGTGTGCATGTAATGTGTGGGTGTGTGTTTGCACATGTGTGTGCGCACACCAGCAGTGTCTATCTAGTTCTCTCACAGAAGAATGTGTGTCTGATCACCGTCTAGTGGTAAATCAAGGCTTCTGGTCGCCGCTGGCGACGGGACGTCCCGTGTGCCTGTCTGTACATGCTCACCCATAACCCTTCATACCCGATCCAACACACAAACACACACTCATGGATACAGCCTCTCCAGCACTCCCCTCCGATAACATGAAAGAAATACAGTGTCTGTTTTCACCTAACATGTAACATCCTGCCATCCTGTGAGAGATAATATTCTCAAACACGCTCTTTGTTGATAAAGTGTTCCACTGACTAACATCCAGGCCTTGTGATGACAAACTCCAGCTGAGATGTTATCCTTATGATGACACAATGTTTTCTATGATAAGGCAGTGTATTTTATGATAACGGAGTGTATTTTCTGCATGCCTTCTAATGATGCTGAGGGTATGACGGATGAAGACAGGGGTGAATGATGATGAATGATGAGGGGCAAGGTTTGATTTATCTTTGCTGTGTACACACAAAGTATGAATCAACTGATTCTTTCGACCTTTAAGCAAATAATATCAACTCTACATTACAGTGATACATACAGTTCATTTGGGTCTGTGAGAATAATATGTGGATTGGATGGTTGTGAGGCTTTAACAGCTTTTAATGGTTTCTGCATGGTTTACCTCAAGGATGGAGGCAACTAATTACATTTAGATCTGTCTTGTAATTATGTTTTTAACAATGTGGTGTTGATCACTACATTTTAAAGTATAAATGCTACCAGCCACACAAATCTAACATGACTTGTTCCCCTTTATTTAGCTATTAAAATCTAAATGAACTCAATCCACTTAAGAATCTTTATAAGTACATTTTAAGGTTTTCTTAGTGGTAACTGGTGGATAACTGGTAACTACTTTAAGTGTAAGCTACTTTGATTCATACAATACTGCAATACAATACACCTATGCAATCTTAAATAAACAACCCAACAATGAATAATATCTGTGTGAAGCTTATAATTCTTGTTTACACTCTCAGACTATTCATCTTCAGCTGTCTACCGCTAATATGGCCCCTTGTGACTCCCTATGTGCCAGGGAACACACTGATCTAAGAGACACTCACCATTTGTGCTCTCCAGGGCCAGCTGTAGACCCAGGTTCCTGCCAGGGTTCAGGACCCAGTGGTTACTGGTGGCTGTCACGTCAAACACCAACCAGCCCTCCTCGGCTGCCCAGATCACCCGTGAGTCCAACAGAAACAAGTCCGACTCCCTGAAGGAGCACAAATTCACAATTTCACACTTAAAGTCAGATATGGACAAAGGTAAACAGTGATTATATGCACAATTACAAAAGATAGGTTGAAACCATGTGACAGAGTATAAACTTAAGTGACCGAAGCGCAAAGCAAAGTAATGGAGTGGAGAGAGGGAGTCAGAGGAGTGTGACGGAGTGAAACAAAGAGAGAGAGATGGAGCAAGAAAGAGAGTGAGGGAGGTGGGGAGGAAGGGAGGGCTCCAGATGGTGAGGCCCAGGGGAACACTTCATTTTCTTAATTGACAATAATGGCTTTATAAACGACCGGTCCTTTCACACACTACACACAGTCCATCACTGGCTGGAATTTTGTGAGGGAGCCAGAAAGATAGAAAGAGAGAGGAAAGAATGAGAGAGAGAGAGAGAGAGAGAGAGAGAGAGAGAGAGAGAGAGAGAGAGAGAGAGAAACACAGCTGCGAAAGAGGAACAAACTGTGTGAAAAGTAGCAAGTGAAATAGTGCACATCCAAGTCAGTCCCATTGTCCAACAATGAACTCTGCATTTTCTACTCTTCCACCATTGGAGACTAAAATCCCTTGTTCTTCATGTGGCCATTCATGTATCCCGACCTATTTTCTGACTGGGCAGATAGTGTGTCACAGACTCTCTGGTTCATTCATGTACCCAGGCCTGTCTCTGGCAAAGGAATAAATGACTGTGTTGTTCCCCCTGGACAACAGAAACCTTTAGGAGGGGTCAAGGAGAACAGGACACGGGCCATTCCCGAGTTACATACACCTTCTGGAAGGCCCAGATTAACCCCAAGGAGAAGATGGGTTTAGACCTGTTCTGATTAGAACAGCTTCCAGATAAGGGCTGCAATTTATTCTTATTTTCATTATTGATACTTTAGATAATGCATGTGCAAAGTGCACACTAACTACATAAAAGTTAATAAAATAAATCCATTGTATATGCTTGAAAACTGAATAGCACTGCAATGCATCAAGAAAAATGCCTGCATCAAAGCTGTTCCTTAATGGGTTTTAAAAATATATATTTTTATAAAGTATAAAATATCAAATTCTCTCTGTAATTGTTATGGCGCTCTATGTCACTGTCTGGAGTTTGTTTCTCTCTCCAGTGTTTATTGCCTGATTAACCTGAATGAACTGTCTGTATTCTGTTGATTGTTTATTTACGCTGTGTTTTGCATATAGTACATTATTACTCTTATTGACTTTTTGTTTGCAAGGCTTTTGTTGCACTTGCAGTAGCATGGTGAGTGTGGTTGTGTCAGATCTCTATCGTTGTCTCTCCTCCACTGCAGAGTTTCACCATGAGCACACTGACACACAGCTCAGCAGAATGGAGAGACAGACAGCAGAGAGAGCTGACGATGGCTGCCCCGTGCATGAAAGCGTTGTGAGTAAAAACAGCTGTGTGACAGCAGACATAAAACAAAAGATTGGCTCGGGTCAATAAAGCTCAATATGGCCAATACTGATCAGTTAAAAAATTCCTTGATTGGTGCCGATACCAATCTTTTAGATTGGTTCGTGACATCCCTAAATTATGTGTTAATTGTTATTAATTATGATTACTACTTATTTAAAGCTTTATATTTTTTAAAGGCCCAACTGGGAAGGGCATTGGATTCAGCTTAGGCTATAAATGCTGTGGTGTGTGGCATTTGATGGCTGAATTCCATTTGGCTACTTTAGTTTTGGGGTCCTGGCATTGTGCATCCTGGGTCATCGCTTACTCGGACACTCGAATAGAACGGAGCCATTGTTAATGTTATTAGTATTACCAGTGTTTTTCCTGTTAAGAGAAATGAAAATGCCCACAAACACATAACCAGATACCCATGCTCACCTATCAGAGTGTTCCTCCAACACCTGGTAGACGCTGATGCGGAAGGTCTCATTATCATAACGTTCATGGATGAAGTCTTTATATATACGAAACTCAGCAGCAGTGACCGCCTCACCCTCTGGGATCCGTGATAGATCAAATCTGAACTCTCTGTGATGCCGCCGCACTGGTAGGAATTCCTTATCATGCTCCACTGCAAAAAAGAAAATTAAATAAAAATGAAACATAAAAAGTATGACAGTGTATGTTTGCAGATCATGTTGCTTCTTTTCATGATCTCTTTTGTTTCCCCCCTTTACTGCTGTCCCAGTCCAGCTCCACCAACAGACTCAAAAACTCTTTCGTCCCCCTGGCAATCAGACTGTACAACACCTCTCAGTAAAGGCAGGGAGGACAATAGATAATAGACAATGGACAATTTCTACCTCCATTTGCACTATTTTACTTCCATTGGCACTCCACTCCATTTGCACTGTTTACTGTTTGCACTGTTTACTGTAGCCACTGTTAATTTTATATATATATATATATAATATTTTATATTTTTATCTTTTATTTTAAATTCTATTCTTAAGGTTAGGGTTTTTAATTTTAGTTTAATGTATGTTTAATGTATGAAATGTATGTTTAGCATTTTGTATGCTACTGGATACTTGAATTTCCCTTGGGATAAATAAAGTATCTATCTATCTATCTATCTATCTATCTATCTATCTATCTATCTATCTATCTATCTATCTATCTATCTATCTATCTATCTATCTATCTATCTATCTATCTATCTATCTTTACCAACAGGGATACAAAATGTGTGCTGCAAGACAAAGAGGGGTATCGTATAAAACAAAAAACACTTCATGTGGTACTGAGCTGCTCTTATAGAGAAACAAAACATGTTTGCAAAAGAGGTAGAGAGAGCAAATATCTTTTTCTCTCAATTTATTCTTTCTCCACAGTCCATCAACCTCAGTTGTTAGCAAGAAGCTGACACAGCTTTTCAGACTCTGGCTCAGTTCCAGATTAAAAACATCTATAGATATGCAGTACACATGTTGGTTTATGATCGAAACATTTATGAGGACTAGCACTAGGAGCAATGCATCTGGCACACACTGAGCCAATGATAGAGAGATGCAGGCGGACTCTGACAGCTTTATGAGCCCCTTTCTTCTCCCTCTCTTCCTCTAATAGCTCCAGAGAGTCATCCAGTCTGCCCTTCATCTGGTTCTCATGAGTTGGGGCTCCATGTTTGGCGTACCCCATCCTCATCCCAGCTCCCGCTCTCCACCTCCTCCCTGCACCCCCAAGATGTGGCCCCCTTGACCCTGCTCCTCTCATGTCCCAGCAGGATATCCCAGGGGTCAGCGCCTTGTCTCTCATCATCTCTTGGCTCTCCCTCCACCTCTCTTCATCAACTGTCAGACAGACCCCCCACACGTACATGCATCCATAGATATACAAATAAATACATAAAGACACGCACAACATAAACACACTCAGTGATTTCTAACCTAGCAAAAACCATGTCTATGTCCATGTCTAACCCCTGTCTATATAGTTTAGTGCTGGTTGCTGAAACAATTAATTTATTCAGTGAATAAAAGGCCCAAAATTAGTTTGGACGAATCAATAGGTCAAACCAAAGTCAACATCAGTGTGGCTTTTCAACAATGGCGAGAACCAAGGGATTGAGGGTTTGTGGGGAATTTATTATTTTCCTGAACTATGTGAAATATGTATGAATGACACATGAGGTAGTTGGATACGGTTAGTGATGACAACTCTGCACTGTGCTCCTCTCAGGCACTGCGTGTTCATGTGTGTTAGGTGAGCGGCTTTGGAAGGAGACCTGAGGGTAGGGGGTAGGATTTTTTTGGTTGGATACTTTCAAAATTTAGCTGTCTCTTGCTAGTTTCTCCAACATTACCTAGCCAAGCTTCAATTTCCAATAGTTGTTGAGATGTTTCACTCAAACCACAACTGTGAACCTCACGGTGGTGCTAGAGGGAAAGTCAAGGGAATCCATCTAACATATTTCAGTCTCGACCAAAGTGGTGGACGGACTAAGTGACCAACAGACCAACGGAGACATCCCTAGGGCCAGCATGGCTAAACATAATTAACCAATCAATCAATAATGAAAAATAATTGTAAAAAAAACAGTACTAATAAAGTTATATAACAACCACATGCCCCTGTAGGGCAGGACCATACTCAACAATTCTTTATCAGAGTCGACTGCCTCTGAACTCTGTGCAACTTTGGCAAGAAAAGTCCCAGGATCTTTGCCAAGGACACACACACACAGACACACAAATATTACAATTCAAAAGAATTTCTGATGACAGCATACTTGGTCTATACCAGCTGTCAGTAATATAAGTGTGCAATGATGTAAATGTTGTTATTTTTTTCACTGCACACCTGCCTCTTTGTCTTCCTCAGTCCTGTTTCCCCTCTTCCCGCATATGTAGTTTTCCCGGTGGACTCTCCCCTACATCCCCTTTCATTTATGTCTCTATTAAACCCAGTTGCTGAAGGACATTATACAAAGGCAGCACTGTGAGATGATTGGCCAGAGCAGGAGTAAAGAATGGATCTAATTACTCTTCAATGAGGGACAGCTCTGCTCTCTGTGGGCCATTACATGGCCTAGCTTTAGGCTCCCATTGTCCTCCATCTGCTATGGGCACACATTGGACTGGTTTGATAAGCTGTTCGACTCTTCCTGAAAACAATGGAGATCAGGGTTATGTGGACTGCAGTGTAGACCTTGTTTAATTCAATGTCACTTCCACCAACATCCCAACTTATTCATTACCTCTTTCCATTCTACTGTACAAGCCCACTCTCTGTCTACACTTGAACCAGTCCTGTACTGTGGACCACCCCGTCAATCAGGGCTTTCATCAAGCCCCACCTTCAAAGTCACCCTTTACAACATTACACTGAATGTGTTGCATACATTGAACTTCTGAATAAGTCCAAAGCTAATGGGTGTCTTCTGCATGTTTCTTCACCTGCTGCTCACCCATTGGTTCCCAACCTTTTTGGTGTATTACACCCAAAAACAAAGCATGACGTATTTAACCAAATGTTTTTCTTTCTCAAATTACTTATATTGAATGATTCATAGAGGCCTTATAACTGAGCCAGAAGAGGCAAAGTGTCCAATGTAAAATAGAGAAAAGGCAGAAAAATGTCATATTCTTTAGTCAATTTATGACCCCTTCAGATTTATCTTGGGACCCTGGGAACCACTGTTTAGGCCAGGGCAGTAACTCAAAATCATTGCCTTTCACTGGATTTATATCAAGGTGATATGAGCAGATGATGTCATTGTTTTACATTTCTTTGTGTGGTCATTTGTAAATGATAGATTCAAAGCAAATTAGAGTTTTTAACTAGGACTATTATTTTCACTTTATTATCCAACCAGGGAAGATTTGCTCTATGGTTTATGTACCCTCTCACACATTCTCATTTCTCTTTTTTACCTCCAGTCCAGAGCCTGCGGCTTGCTTGTCTTTTTACCACACCAGGGACCTCTCCCTCCTCCTGTAGCCCAGTGCAGGTGCACTCCCTTTGGGGAGAGAGCCAAACCTGTTCTTTAGCCTCCAGAGCAGCAGCCCACCTCTTCACTGCAAAAGCTCTTTATCTTTGCTTGAGAGAACAGCTGGATGCTGCTGTGAAACTCCCACACTAACAATTTCTCTTGCATCGCTTTCTATTTCCACTCTTCAAAGCGTGAATTTAATCTGTAAAGTTTGAGAGAAAATGAGAGCAGCCTACAAAGTTTAGCAGTAGCCTCTGCCATGATTTTGCCTTTGTCTCTGTTTCTTTCTATTCTCTCACAGGCCATTATAGCAGTATGGCAGTCATTAGATGAGGGGAAGAGGCACAGTCAAAGCCAAGCGGGTGCATTTATGACTTCCTCTGGGAGGAAGTGAGTAGCCATCGCCCCACCTGTGTCGCAAGCGCACATACACCACAAACATGGCGAACACACCCTCATGCCACATGAGCCATTCATTCAGAGTAGCCAGCGTCCGGATCGGTCGCTGCTCCTCACATACACACACTCACATGCACACTAACAACTATCACAAAGTATTTCCTGTGAAGCGAACGGTCTTGTGCGTCACAGCCCGGTAACACAATCATTATGGGTTTCTGTAATCCATAATTAGAGATGCAACAACGCACACATGCAAAGAGACAAACACACACAAGTACACAAACGTATACACTTACACAGTGTGCTGCTTTTATCATTTGGTCTGACATCTGATTTGCTTTTTATACAAACTGCTGATGATGCACAGTTATCCCACATCATTTGACTTGTGTAGGCCACACACGTGCACAGCAGCACACATCAGAGATGTTGGGATGATGACGACTTCTCCATCCTCTAAACCTACTGTGCACCTGGCAGCCAGAGCTTTACTACAGCGTGAACACTGTGTTAGCATCTTTCAAGATTTATGCTTCCCCACGGGGCACACAGCTTCCTTATCATGTTCTCTGTGCCTGCTAACAGCCAAAACCTCTGATCTGCTTCCAGAAAATAATCAACGATGATTTGAGGTTCACTACTCTACAGCCATGCAGTGATTTTTGAATTTAATTTAATGGAACTTCATTTTTATTATAAGTTTTATCCAAAAAGTTTGGAATCAATCAAAACCTTCCTGTTTCCCCTAGTAAACTTTTTACCGTCTTTAAAGGTTAGTCTGTTGATATTCTATATTTTTCTTGTCTACCAATGAACCAATCCTACTACCTAACAGTGTTGTCTATCTAGTCAAAGCCTAACAAAGCTTATTACTCTTTCCAGACTCTGTTAAAAACATATCAGTGAGCCACACTGTTATTTATGTCCTCAATGATAACAAATATGCTTAAGGCTGAGAGCCATGGACAAGGTGGAGAAAGTACTGAGAGACGGACTAGCGCACTATTTATTTTATCAAAAATACAGAATATCATCAACCTTTTTCTTTTACTATTTTTTCTCATTCCTTGCATGTCACTCTCTTCCTCTTCCCTTTTCCCTCCCCTCTCTCTACTCTTCCTCCTCTCCTGCCGAGCCTGTAGACCTAAGACACTTCTCCAACACCTCAGGCTCCGGAGCAGCAGTGGACAAATCTGACGACTCGCATTAGCCCAAGTGTCTGTTCGGCACCCTCACACCCCTCAGTCCCGCTTTGCACGCTTCCGCTGCTCTGCAGGGGGGGGGGATCTCACCCCTGGCACCACTCTCACTTCTCTGAACTGAAGGCTTAAGCTCCCTCCCCCTCCAATCCCACCTTCAGTTCTCTTGAGATAACTGTACCACCATTATGTGCACCTTATTCTGCATCCCCTGTGGAGCCCATTAACTCTGACAGCACACCTGATACCCAAAACCAGAAACTAGAAAAGCAGTGAGTCAATCAAAGCAGGGTCAGATCCTTTCATGATGAGAATATGGAGGTAAATGAAAGGGACTGTAACACTATGTAGAGGCATGCATTTGATTGATGCACTATAATGATCCATCTCTTTCTTTCTTTCTGTTGCTCTTACTCCAACAATGTTTATAGTACAGTACTGGAAACAAGTAAGTCATAGTTTCCGTAAGCTAAAAGGAGAGAGGGGAAGAAAAACGGAGTGCAAGGAAGGGGCAGATTGCTCAAGATGTTTATCCTATAAAGAGTAAAAAGGGTTTGATCTCTTGGGTACCGGGTGACTGCCCGCAGTAGGGCGATTACCACGTTAGGAAACATCCTGCCCATTGGCGACTACTGATGACATCATGCCTGTGTGATGTATTTGTACTGCTGTAGGGCCTGACAGCACAGGCTCCCTGGGAATGGGTCAGTGGAGTTTCATGCTATAACTAACTCGCACTTAACGATCATTAACTCACCGCAGTGTGTGTGTGCGTGTGTGCACGATCACGTTTTGCCTTTGAGCCTGTGTGCAAGAAGAAGCAGTAACCACAGGAAGAAGAGTCTTTACATTTAAGACTTGCGGTCAAACCAAAACCTTCTTGAGTTTTCTAGCCTGAAGGCAACCGAGAGGTCTCAGATTATACTCACAGCAGCCCTTGTTGACCTCTCTCTCTCCCTCTCACTGAGGCCATCAAACATGCTTGCCCTCTGCACCCGTAAACTGTAGTGCTGGGTTCCACCTCATGCTTCGCTGGGCATCGTGGACCAGAGATTTATACTGGATATGTAACAGCCTGGAACTCACAGGAATGTATCTGACTGTAAAGCCTCTTTTTGGCGCTCTACGTCTGTCCTTTACAGAGCACCACACAGCAGCTGTCTTTAAAAGGTTTGTTCATCCAAAGCTACAAAATCACATATTTTCTCACTTACCTACTTCTACTGGTATCTCGCCATGCAGATAGTTTTGATTTAAAGGAGCAGTTCGACATTACGGTAAATTCGCTTTGTGGCAGAGGCTTAGATGAGAAGATGAATCCCACTCTCATGTCTGTCTGTTAAATATGAAGCTGGAGTCAGCAGCTGGGTAGCCTAGCTTAGCATAAAGACTGGAAACAGGGGGAAACAGCTAGCCTGGCTGTGTCTGGGAATAACAAAATTGATCTGCCAGCACTAAAGCTAATTAAAAGGTTGCATCTTATTTTAAAAACCAAAGTGTAAAAACAACACTTTGCTCGTTTTTTTGTGCCGGACCGTTCCTTCCCAGCCAACCGCCCACAAAACCCCCAAATCCAGTGTTTTTTTATACTTTGGTTTTTGTTTGAATTAAACAAATGAAATATAACATGTTAATTAGAAGATACAGAGGTGTCGGCAGGCGAATTTTGTTACCTACAGACACAGCCCGGCTAGGTGTTTCCCTCTGTTTCCAGCCTTTGTGCTAAGATAAGTTAGCTGGCTGCTAGCTGTAACATGAGAGTGGTATAAATCTTCTCATCTAACTCTAGGCAAGAAATCAAATAAGCTTATTTTCCAAAATGTCAAACTAATCCTTTAATTTGCAAAGATTTTGAGATATCGCTTTCTCTAAAATGTCTACACCCCCAATACAACGGTGGTGGATGGATATTGTTTAACATAAAAAAACAAAAAAACATCTCCCAAGAGATACACAGTGGAGTACAATTTCTTCAATACCATTAGTGGTGAGTGAGAAAGTATAATTTGATATTTCTATTTTTTCATGTTC